TTTATCAAAAGTATTGTTTTTATATAAGTAAGGGATTTTATTAATTAATTGATTCTCTCTTTCATACTGTCTCTCTCTAAAGAATCAAAAAGAATTCAGGAACAAGGTTTTTATCAACTAGAGAACTTAAGGTTGATACTTCTACTCTAATTTTGAAGGTCAAGACTCTAACTGGGCTATACAATATAATAACAGTTTATTTTGCAATACAGGGACAGTAACGAAGTTAATTGGACGATTTATTTAGAAACAAAGAGAAAAGGATAAGTAACTTCTATTATTATTATTTTAAAATATAATTTAACTGATCTTTATTGTGAAGAAAAGCTCTTCTTATATAATTATCTTTACATATATTTGAATTCTTAGAATCTAAATTATTTTTACTATCTTTATTATAATGAGAATAATTTTTATTCTTGTTATTTTCACGATTCCTATAATTTGAAAAATTTCTAGAATTTTTACAACTTGTACTACCTATAACTATGAATTTGGGAATATCAAGGGCAATAGTGTAAAAATAGAACTAATAGGGTCGGTCTTGCCCCTCACAACTCACATACTAATAAATCTGATCTTTTGTACTCGTTCTCTAATTAAATACTATTAAATCTATTGAATAAGAGATAGGGCATAATAATAAATACAGTACCCTCTAAAATTTTATTCCTATTACACAAAACATAATTTAACAAATAATTGGATAATTTATTATTGTATAATTAGTAAATTTAGATAATCATTACTATTAATTGATGATCTGCTACAAACTAGTAGTATGATCATAGTGTAATGTGATGGACAAATTACTATATAAATTCTACAAGTTAGGAATCCTACAGCCCGCTTACATAATACTTTTTTATTAAGTTAATTACTTTTTTTTCTTAAATAGAAATTGTAGGGCTTATTGAGACAAATCTAATGATGGTTAGAACATTAAAATTGGCCTAGTAAATGCTGAAATATTTTTAAAAAATGATTAGCTAATTATATAAAATTTTTATATAAACAATAGTTTGTTTACATAGAATTTTATATAGTTGGCCAATTGTTTTTAAAAGATATCTCAGTATCTACTAGGCCAATTTTAATGTTCTAACCACTATAAGATTTGTCTCAATATGCTCTACAATTACTAATTAAGAATGAAAAGCAATTAACTTAATAAAAAAAGTTTTCTATAAGCAGGCTGCAAGATTTCTAATTTATAGAATTTACATAGTAATTTGTGTTATGTTGTGGCAGATCATTAATTAATATAAATAAATCTATTTTATCTTTTTTAATTTAGTTTTTGTAGTTTAAATATATTTATTTTTGCTAATCAGAATAATTAATTTGTAACTATTAGAAATTGGTAATTATAAAGAGGTTTAATTTTAATAAAATTAACAATTTTATTTAAATTTTACTATAATAGTGATTATAAATGATTTGTAATTATAAAGAGGCTTTTGTACTATGCTTATGTCTGTTTCACAATATTAAGTGCTTATATAGAGGCATGACTATATAGGGTATAACTATATAAAGATCTGACTATATTATCTTGTGGAACAACTGTGTTGGCAGCACTATTATATAAAGGTGGACATATGGCCTACTCTTTGTTTTAAATACCTGTAGAAGAAAACAATATCAATATTCAATCATCGATTAAATACTATAGTAACTGTGCTAATCTAATTTGTGAATCAACATTAATAATTTGGATGAACTCCAATAGTGAATAAAGCAGTACTAAAAAGTATTGACTCTCTCCTTAGACAAATTTGTGGCAAAGATAAACTATTTAGAAAAAAACTATTTATAGAAGCTGAAAATTTCAAACAAGTAGTACCTGTTGTCAAAAAGCAGGAAAAATTGGTATGATCGATGCATTGATTAAAACTTCATATATATAGACATACTTTGATAAATATATTCTCAATCAACTCATATGTAATATTACTGATCTATATTTTGCAAAATTTGTTGAAACTATTAGGAACAACTGGCAAGAGCCAGAAGTATCATTAGAAATTTTCAAAACAACACATAGTATTGAGAAAACAATTTCTTTTTTATATCTGGAAAATTTATTTATGAACTACATTATATTACCAAAAAGAGTTTTCTTTAGTAGATAACTTCAATAGTAGAATTCTTGATATGTTACCAGGATTTCTAAGTATATTTTAGTTATGACATCATTAAAGAAAACAATAAAATATTAAATGATTACCCAATTGCAACACTAGATTTTTTATCTCACATATCCTGGAATACCAAATTATAAACTCTATTTAAAATGTGGTACTATTTGCTCTGTTATGCGAAATTTTTCTATTAAAAGAGAAATAATTAAAAATACTTAAGTTATGATAACTAACTTAGGCCAGTGACTAATAGAAGTAATGTTGCTTAATAATAGCAATACTAATTATATATTAGAAAATCACCTACTTCTCAAAAACAATTTTTATTTTTGACCAGACTACTGTTTATAAGCAGTATACTATAAACAATTTCCATTACATATGGCATATTTAACAACTTTTAATAGTTGTCAAGATCTCATTCTGGATTGTGTAGTTTTGAATCTTCAAATCAAAGTATTTGTATATGGTTAGCTATATACTGCTATTTTCTATATAAAAACAGAAATCATTATTTAATTTTATTACCAGAAGATAATACAACTGCAAAAATGAACGATGTTGTTTATAAAGAACTAATTTAATAAACACAATCAAGTAAAATAAACCTATAATATATAAATAACTTTTATTAGTAATTACTTAACAACTATTAATCAAAATTGATTTTTTATAATTTTCTAACAAATAATATTAAAATACTATTAATAATAATAGTAATAGTGATTTAATGCCACAAATTGAAATATCTCCAAATGAATATCAATCTATTATTATATATTTGTTTACTATATTTCTTTCTTTTAAATATACTACATTTAACTACAAATTAATTATATTATTTTATCAAATATACTATCTTTAACTTAAATTAAATACTATATATTTAATATATTATAATCAATATTATGCATTCTTTATGTTTTATAACTAATATTACTTTTTAATTTTAATATTAACTTCTGATCCACTATTATATATATCCTGTGATATAACTAATAATTATAAATAAAACACATAACCAAGAGATATTAAGCTTCATATTGGCAGATTTTTGGAATTTACTATTAAAAATTTCAAAAATATTTAACAGCGAATAACTTTTGATCTACTGATCCATTTTTGACAAAACAATTACTGAAATTTTCGTCTCGGTGAGACGATTCTAATAGATACAAAATCACCAAAATCTAATCACAGGATCTTGATATCTTTGATGATTTGTTTCACTTCGAATGTTTTAGAATTGGTTTAACCAATCCTAAAACACCTGAAGCAATGCAAATCTCTACCAATCTCAGGGTTCTGTGATCAGATTTTGACGATTTTGTAACCATTAGAATTGTCTCAACAAGATGAACATTTTGGTAATTGTTTTATCAAAATGCACCAGTAGATCAAAAGTTATTCACTGTTAAAAATTTCAATAATAAATTTCAAAAATCTGCCAATATGTTAACTTATACAAAACTATATAATAAATATCAATCATTGCTTTTTTTCTTCTACAACTAATAAAGTAATATTTTTATTCCTATCAATTGTAACACTTATAGATAATAAAAACCAAATTACCTTTCAAAACCGTAACTATTATTTACATAAATATTATACTGTATTTTTTTAAACAAGATATTATTTATATATAGTTAATTATGAACATAAATTTACAAAAGAATTTATAAAATGATGACTAAACGTAGTTAATACTTACATTAACTATACAATTATATAAACCCTCAGAAATTTACTTTAAAACAATAACTATACTTTTGCAATACTTTGTAAAAATCAATCAAGTTTGACAATCTACAGATAAAAATATTAATTTAATCATCATATAGGCTATTAGCATATATTCTATTGAACAAAAAGATAATAATATCAAAATAGTAATATTCATACCATTAAATACCAATGATATAGATTCTGACAGCCAAGCAAGCTTTGAAAAAATGAATACTATACAATTTGTGGAAAAATTATCTATCATGGTGTCAAAAAACCAAAAGTACTATTATTAAATTTTATATAAACATATGGGTTAATTTATAAAATTGGCTAATAACTTTTGATTCACTAATCTGTTTTAGATGATTTAATTACCAAAATGTTTATCTCAGTGAGAGGATTCTAACAGGTCCAAAATTGTCAAAATCCAATCACAGAATTCTAAAATAGTTTAAATTTTATACAAAATTAATAGTAAATTTAAAATTTTTGGATAAATAATTTAATTTAAAATAATTTTTGATCTACTAGTCAATTTTTGGATAATTTAACTACCAAACTGTTTGTCTCAACAAGTTGATTCCAACAAGCCCAAAATCATTAAAATCTAATCATGGATCCCAAGATAGTTAAGAATTTGTATCATCAATGAATCAATCTCATATGATTGGCTGATAATACAAATTCTTAACTATCTTGGGATCCCGTGATTGGATTTTAATGATTTTGGCCTTGTTGTAATATCTCATTGAGATAAACATTTTGGTAGTTAAATTATTCAAAACAGACTAGTGGATAAAAGTTATTTAAAATTAAAATATTTATTTAAAAATTATAAATTTACTATTAATTTTGTATAATATTCAAACTATTTCAGAATTTTGTAATTGGATTTTGACAATTTTGGGCTTGTTAGAATCCTCTCATTGAGATGAACATTAAGGTAATTAAATCATCTAAAACAAATTAGTGGATCAAATGTTATTGGCTAATTTCATAAATCAACCCATATGCAACATATATATATATATAATATATAAAATAATAAATAATAAAGATAATAATAATTATAATAATAATAATAAATTACAAACTTATTATTACCCATCAAAATTACAAATTCCGATGACTATTACAGTGTTGACACACATTACTATTAATAAGATAATCAACAGGCAATTCAATTCAAACAATTGTCCATTAAACTCTTCCCTGGTTGGCATCACTCAAAACACTCCTGAAGAGCTTAAAAACAATGGAGATACAGTCGTTAAATTTTAGTCAATGACTATACAACTCAAGAACACAATTTTGTAATTAAAATAACCTATCCATATCTAAATTCTCCATTCGCCCTAATGAATCTATACTTTTTGTCATCGGCCAGTTGGAAGTTATTAAAAATGAATTGTATGTATATGCAAAAGACATGTTGTATATTGATGTTCAAGCACTTACTAGAAAACGAATCCTATACTCTAATAATCCTCAAATTTCAACATCATCATCCAATACAACATGATCTAGGCTTTTAGCCGCATACCGAGATATCACTGAAGAATCTGAAAAAAATCTTGAAGATTCGACAACAATGAATGCATCAAATTCAAACACAATGGACTCCAGCCAATTGAAGAAAATCTTGAAGATTTAACCACAAAATCAAGTTCAAGTGCAATGAAATCTGATCAATTTAACTCAGAATCATCAAAATTTCAAAGATCAAAGCATACAAAAACTGAAAAAAATAACAAAAATACAGAGTATAATAAAGACAAACAAGATCAAGAAATAACTGAAACTTCTTATGAAAACATGACTGACGAATCAAAATTGAATGATAATAAATACAATGAAGATGAAAAAAATAATAAACCAAAAAAACACAGTCGTAATAAAAAAAATGATAACAAAGAACAAAATGCACGCAATATTAGGCAAACACGCAGCTCAAGAGTAGTAAGTGTTATAACAAATAACGAGAACAATGAAGAGTAAGTGCGCTTAATTGTATATTAAATATTAAATGATTTAGCTTATAAATATTATAACAATTATATAAATTTCTTTCAATCTATCTATCAATTGGTAATACAATAGAATCGTCCCGACGAAATCCCAACTTAACCAAAATTTACGCCACATCGTAAATTTTCGAATGAAAAAAATCCACACAAAATTCGTTGGGACAACTCTATCGAATCACTACTATAAATATATACACAAAAATTTTTAACATTTCTTATCGATCTATTTTTTATTATTGTAATAAATAAGAAATACAATATTTTACTAAATACATAAATATCGCTAAAAAAACCCCCTATATATAAAAAATATCACAACTATCAACTTTATTTTCTAAAATTAAAAATCAAATAAAACACAATTATAGCACGGGTTTTATATAACAACCCGTGCTTTTTTCATTTGCTTATTGTCACGGACCGTACTTCAGACACCGTGCAATAATAAAGTTATTAAATGGGTTATAAAATAACTAAATTTGCACGGCATATGTGACCCCGTACAAATTTAGTTATTTTTTGCAACCCATACAATAACTATAACTAATTAGTCGAAACAATCTTCGAAAATTTTACAAAAAAAAATCGCAACACGAACATAATAATAAACTTTAGCAAACAACACGTTAAGATTACAAACTAACCAACCAATTTCTGCCAATCTCTAACATACATACGTACATGCATAATATTAAAATACACTATAAATATAAAATCCTAAAAAACTCAAACACAACATTCGAACCACTTATACCTAATTAATTAATCACATACCAAACAAAAAAAAAACAACAAATTAAAATATTTTTTAACCAAACACGTCCTAATTATATACATATAGATTACATAAACGTCAATTAACAAATAAAAATTACATTATCGATGACATTCGTAAAATTATCAAAACTATTAACTATTTAACAAATAAGTAACGCAATAAATACATAGCTATAAAACCTCATACCAATACTATAAACAACAATATTTATACTAATTACATATAAAAAATACAAAAAAATTATAATACAAAAATTACCACTTCTACAACAATATGAAGGCGCCGGTGGCGCCCCATTTCACTCTTGTAATATAATAAACAGTCTACTGCATCACAATCAAATATGGCAAGGATGAGCAAACCAAAATAAAGCGTCAAATAACAGGATGCCAGTTGGATCCTTTATGATACGAACACAAGCAGTAATATTACAGCCATTATTCTCAATAAAAATAAAAGACTAAAAGATGAACACCAAAATTTTAAAAATTTCTTAATAAATAGTCAAAATTTCAGCTTCAGCCACCAAATAAGTATCAACGAATGTGGTAAATTTAATTTTTAAAACGATTCATTCTCTTTAATAAACAATCTTATAGGAAAATATGATTATTTTAACGCTCTTTAAGTTTAGAAATATATTTCTTGTTATTAATATATTTTTATTATATCATTTGGTTTCTGCTCAATGGAAAAAAATTTTAACGCATGACGCTTTTCCTGAACATAAAATTAAATTAAAAGAGCCGAATCTTTGTGATAAAACTGTTCAACAGGTTTTAAATTATTATTTAAAATAGTTTTAAAAATATTGAATCTTTGATTTTTATTTAATATAAATTTTAAATATTAGTATTCTGGATATCTTGAAGTTAATAACCGAAAACATTTATTCTTTTGGTTTTTCGAATCGAGAAATAAACCTCAAGAAGATCCTATCATTCTTTGGGTATGTAAATACAATACGTACGTATTGTACGTACTTAAGTATACGTATCTATTTGTTAATCATTAATTGAAAAATCCAAATAGCTTAACGGTGGCCCAGGGTATGATACTTTTTAAAGCGTATTTTATAGCAATATAAAGGATGTATTGGAACTGTACATATTTTATCTGGCCAAAATTAGTAAATTAGTGCTGGTGCTGCGATGATTGGGCATATGTATAATTTGCTCAAGTCGTAAATTTGGATTGAGCTCTGTAGTATTTCTATATAATCGAGTGAAACTCAAAATTAATGGTTATATCGATGTTACTATGCTACTTTTATTTTATAATCTTATTGATGTGTTCATTGAGACTTTTCATAAATTTTAGATCCTTACAAGGTCGAATTTTAAAATTTATATAAGATTTCTGTAAGATATTGAATGTTAAAAAGCCTGATAGCTCGATTTTCGGCGCCTATTTGAAAAAAATCATTTCCGATAGGCCTATCAGATATCCGATATTTTTTAATAGAAATATCGAATATCTGATAGGCCCATCGGAAATGATTTTTTTTCAATAGGCGCCGAAAATCGAGCTACCAGGCTTTTTAACATCCGATATTATGTTGATATTCTTAAAGAAATTTTAAATTCTGCTTGTGTTATGTAATATTCCGAGAAGCTTTTAACTACTGTATTCCATCAGCCTAACATATAAAATTAATATTTGTTAAATGATTCGAAAATTGAGCTATATCCTGCTATTGCTGTATTGTTATTTTATAATTAATATTAACAATTAATTAAATTAATTATTTTGTTTAATTATACATAACAGAGGTTCTTCTTTAAAGGGTTTATTCTTTGAACTTGGTCCTTGTACTGTTAACCCAGAAGGAAACAGTACAACTATTAATCCATATTCATGGATTAACAATGCTAGTATCATTTTCTTGGATCAAGTAAAAAAGAATATTTTTTTCATTATTTCAATACTATGTATTTTGTAATTATCAAACAAATACAAATCACAATATAAAATTATTTCATAGCCATCCAATACAGGGTATTCTTATGGTGACGATGTATTTGATACTAAAACCGCTGCAATTGATGCTTACGCATTTTTACAAATCTTTTTCCGAGAGTTTCATAAATATGCTGTTTTGGATTTTCATATTGCTGGTGAATCGTAAGCATTAAGATTGTTAAGATTATTAATATTGTTAATATTTGTTAATATAATCAAAATAAGATTATAAATTAACTAGAATCTTTTGTATATATTATTAACAGGTATGCTGGCCATTTCATACCTGCCATAGCCTTTGATATAAACAAATATAATCATGATAATGGTGAAACAAAGAAGTTTATTCATATCAATATTGAATCCATCTTGATTGGAAATGGTTGGGTGCACCCTCTAGTGCAATACAATTATTATCCAATCATGGCCTGTGATTCAGTTTATGGACCAGTAATAAATCAATCTTCATGTCATCAAATGAGAAAAGATGTTAAAAAATGTATTAAGTTAGTTAAAGCATGTTATGCTTCAAACACTAAAACAGATTGCGCAAATGCTGCCAATTATTGTGATCCTAAAGTGTTGTGGCCTCTTGAAGTGAATGGTATAAATACTTTAGATATAAGAAAACCCTGTTCTATTGGTGTTTCATGTTATCTAGATTCACAAATTGAGACATATTTAAATCGTGAAGATGTTAAGGTTGAATTGGGTGTTAATCCTTTGTTGGTCTATCAACTTCACAACATGACTGTTCAAGATCTCTTTTTGAGTTCTGGTGATTCGTAAGCAATCAAAATTTATATAAATTAATCAATCAATCTAGATTTTGCGGTTAAATCTTCTAAAGTATATGTACATGTTTAAAATACTTTTATTTTTTTTAAATTTAGGATTCGCCCCTCTCACAAAAACATTCCACCACTCTTGGAAAACAATATTCGAGTCTTAATATATGATGGTAATTTTATAAATAAGCTATTTTGGTTAAAAGTTTTTATTAATTTCATAAATTTATTTTTATAGGCGATGCTGACTATGTTTGTAATTGGTTTGGTAAGTGTTTGCTATTAAACTTATATTATATATTATTTGAAGATACTCCAGAACAATCAAAGCTCTCTTTAATGAGAATATATGTTCAATTAATAAAAAGTTTTTAAAATTTATTATATCGAAAGTTATTTTGAGAGAATTTCATATAGACTAGCCTTGAACTAAATTCTACTATAATTAATGATTATTTTTTATTCAGGTGTTAATGCATGGACAAAAGCACTTCGTTGGAGTGGTACCGAAGGCTTTAATAATGCTAAAATTACTTCTTGGATAACAGCTTATGGTAATTATTCTGGAAATGTTAGAACCTTTAAGGGCTTAACATTCTTGAAAATTTTCGAATCAGGGCATTTGGTACCACATGACCAGCCAGTTTCAAGTTTAGATTTCTTTACTAGATGGATATTCAAGAAGGGATTGTAAATTAGCTCGAATCTGGTCAAATGGTGTAAATTCTAATATTTTTATATATGTTCAATTATTTATCAAAAATGGGTAAAAATTGGCTTAATATTTAGAGTCAATTCCATTAAATAAAATAGATTAGAATATCTAAGCGATTACGTACAAACATTTATAGATTTATTAAATATGATTCAAATTTCTAACCCTAACTCTACCATTTATATATAGAAGATAAATACAATCATTGACAAATTTATTTAAACGAATACGAACTCAGTTTTATTTATGTCGGGGATGATGCTGAAACAAGATGATGCTGAAACAAGATGATGCTGAAACAAGATGATGCTGAAACGTAGAGGTCTCTATTTAGAAATATGAGCTCTACTAAAATCCACCTATACATTTTTATTATAAATACTAACTCTAAACCCTAACTTGACTACAAAAAAAAACATCCCCAAAAATTTTAAAATTTCATATTAAATAAGTCAATGTTTTAGCATCATCCCTGACATTAAATATTTATAACCGTGATATTTTACAACTGGCTAAAGAACTCAGATCATGTGATTTACATTATTCAAAAATTAACATACTTTTGAACTACTATTTTTTATGAAAAATTTTATTAATAAGCATCGCATAACTGATATAATTGATACAACTCACTCTTGTGTAATATAGTACACAACGATCGTAAAAGAAATTTAATATTTTCTATAAGCTGCTTTTACCTTAAACAAAAAAATGAACAATCTTATACTCATTTTAATTTTAACCATCAAAAAAGAAGTAATTTTAAGTCTTATAAACCATGAATGATACAGAAAATTGACAGTTATTTATACATTTTTTAGTCATTTAATTTCATCATATTTGCTAATATCCATTTTCACATGAAAGTTGTATTGTATCATAAGCATTTCAATTCATTTTTTAAAATAATTTCGTTGAATATACTGTCATGGTCAAAAGTTATTATATTCAATCTATTCCACTTAAAGTTTGTATTTCATATATTAAAGCCACTTAAAAATATGAAAATATAACCGTTTTTGAAATTTGAAACTATGTTCATATACGTAAAATTATATGCTCAAATCTTTGTAATTCGAGCAAACACTTTAAGTATTCTCTCAATCAATAAAATATAATTTTTGAATTATTTTCTGGACTTTTTGAATAATTAAAATATTTTAATATGCGCATATGTTAGCTGTTAAGATTACATTAACGATGTTACAATAATTTGATATTAGTTATAGTAAATAAATATTTAATCTATATTTATGGCTAAAAGTAAAACACTACTATTTATAATTATTACAACTACCACAATTACCATCTATTTTATTACATATTCAAAATTGGCCAAAGAGTCCCTAAAATTGATAATACCGAACACACTAAAATAATAACTATATTAAACAACCAATCCCACCATCTTAACTTATTACCAAATAATTTCAAATAAAACATACATGGAAATATTGCAGAAATAGTATAAAATAAAAGACTACCAATCAATTCAATCATCTTATCAAAATTTGGATACACAATTGCAATGAATACAATAAAAGTTGATATTAATGTACGTGACAAAAAACGCATGAATAAAAAAAAAGCGTCATTTGAGGCGCATTGACTTGAACGATATCGTATTTCTAGGTATAAATTTACTGGGTGTAATGAAAGTGCAAATTTTGCAAGTGGACTAATTGCCACAAGCCATACTATGAACGAATTTAGGATTTTCAAATGATCAGATGAAGACATTATGTTTTGAGTTACCTAGTATAATATTTATAGTATAATATTTATAATATATATATTATAATTTATTAATAAAAAAATTATTTATATATTTATAATTTAAAAATTTTAAATACGTAATTAAACATACCTCTGGTCTTGCCTGATTTCCAAACATTAAGTAACCACATACACCTGTTATAAGATAAACAACAATGCTAATAGCGTATGAAGTATCTACTACACTTGAAAATTTTTCAGGTTTTTCCATCTTTAGATATATTGAAGGAAATATGGCATGTCCTAGAAGAATAATTTCGCAATTAATAAAAATTAATTAAATTATGACTAAAAAGATCAAAATTAATAACCTGAATATCCAGCTACTAATAATCCAAAACTAAAAGGTAAATTATTCCAATTGGAAGGCCATAAATCAGTTTGCATAGGGTTTAATAGGCTTCCAGGTTGTTCATTCTGTGTAAATCCATTAATTGCTACTATAATTGCTAAAAATACTGCTGCTAATACTCCAAGTAGTGAACAATACGAGAGATATTTAATATCAATTATTGTTAATGGCACTAATACTACCCAACAACCAATTTTTAGCAATATAAGAGATATATCGGGAAATAACACTTGTAGAGAATCACCAATGAGGATTACTAAAGCAATTGATGCTCCAATTACTTCTAATAAGAAAAAAACTAATATAACATATTTTCCTATATTTCCAAATGCTAACGCAGCTATTATATGTAATGTATATATTATTTATAAAAATTAAGCATTATTGAATGTTACAGCAGCTTAAAGAAAAAAAGAAAAGGTATAAATACCTATGTCAGGATATGTATAAAGTCCTTCTTTGTAACTTAAACATCTTATTAATATTTTTGCAGCATAATTTGTAACTATCATACTAAAAAATAATACTAATAACCCTATAAACCATCCTGAATAATTAAACGCAAGTGGTAATGAAAGGGTACCAATGCCTAAAAACAAGTTGTTAAAATATAATGTTAATGATAAATAATAGATAGAGACCAGAGTTACCTCATAAAATAATTAGCAATTATTCAATGTTCAATTTATTACCCATCAAAATATTGCAAAAATTAATGATTGATTGCCCAAAGGTAGATTTGATTTTCGCAGGAGTATCCTCATCAATTTCAAGTAAAGAGGACATTGTTAAAATTTGTAGGATTAAAAGCTTTGCTAAAAATTTTTGCCATAAATTAGAATTGGAAAGTTATATTGCTAAGCTAAAATTTCGCAAGGGAAAGTATCTATAATCTATAATACTAAAATTTTATTCATAAACTCGTTTTAAACAACTTAATTGATAAATATATGAGTGATGCCAAGGAAAACCAGACTTTGTGCTTCAAAACTTATAACTATACGTACCGGAAAAAACTGGAACTTTCACAAAACAATTACCAATCATAAAAATTTAAATAAAAAAAAGAGGCCATTTATTTAAGAACATGTTATTGATAGTTTTGGGAATATTAGGTTAGTATTTGAATATCCCAATCTATGATAATTTGGATTTAGACGGTAAGTACACAGGACTCAATCCTTAAAAAACAAGAATAACTGAGCCCGACAAATTATAAATTTAAAGGCCATAAACCTGTTTTTCCTTGGCGTCACTCATATTATAAATGATTCTTACAAATGCATATGGTATCTATTTGACATTTTGTATATTTTTTAAGTTTATTCTGACGAATGTCCAAAACTATGTATAAAATAATATGTGATACATAAAATTAATTCATTATGGTTTTAACTTAATTCGCCTGTAGAAATATCAAGAATATGTTTAATCTAGAATAATAAACATTTATTTTCACACATGATAAACACCGCTTAATTTACCTCAGCCATGCTAATTTAACCTGTTAGTGTCGTTGGGAGAAACTAAGCTTCAGGCTTTTAAATTTACAAACAATATATTCAGCCTCTGAAAATTTAAGCAATAAAATTAATCTGAGCTGTTGTGTATTAGCGGAAACGAAACTTCCGCTTGTTATACATACGGATTACTAAATACCCGTGATTTTGATCGGAATATTCTCAGTGGAATATCTATCATTATGTAGTCACTTAATCCTATGCCGCACATACAAACATAACTACTCAACTGTTTACGTAGCCATAACTGTCATGTGCCTTCGCTTCACATATTCTTTCGCTCTCATCTTTATTATCATTTTATCAGCGCGATAAAAAAAAACAAAAAAAATTATATACCATGAAAGGAGTACGTACACAGAGAGTATAGTTTAATGACCTGTCAAATTGAGTCTGCGATTCTCAGCATTTAATTAGATGATCATTCCTTGTGACTTTGAAGTGTATGTTGTGAAAGTGTGTATGCAAATCCGTGTACGTACTTGATTGCTATACCTTTCACATGGCATTGTTCTATCTACAGTATACAGTATACTAGGAACGTTTACTGTGTACAAAATCTTGCATGCCATTGGATGACACTTTCACATGTTAAATTGATCGATGTGCAAAAATCTATGTGATATACAGAATTATCATTATGCAAACATTTTCGGTAGCTGATAAATTTGTGGCTATGCATGGCTTCAATTTTAAAATATCTTACCGTTACTACCTATGGAAATAATTTAAGAGTAAAAAAAAGAATACTGTAATATTATTTATTAACAAGCATCTGAACTTGTTTATTTTATCGTTATGACTCACGCTAGTTTGAGATACATCTCTTTATTAAGCAAGTTTATCTATTACTGTAATTAAATTAATCATTTATACATGTATGTGCTGTACATACGTGCGTACAGACATGCTTTTTTTATGCACGATACCCGTCCGAAATCTCACACGCTTGACTTTTGATATTTTACTATATGTTCTGAAAAATGGCCTAGCCTGTCTTGGCTAATATCTGTCAAGAAAATTCGATCGTTAAAATAAGTGATTAGACTGGACTATTCAAAGTTGATTAGTTGGCTGATGTCAATATTTGATCTTAAGCGTAAGGTAGAGGGAAGAAATTTAGTCAACCATAATCATATGATCAATTAAGATTATGCTGTGTAGCGATTGCTTATTTAATAACGAGAGTTGTTTAGTCGGAATGGCGTGACGTTAACACTATTCAATTTTGAATGGCCTTAACTTTTAATCCATAATTTAAATTGTCGAGTTAATTCATAAATTTATGTTCCTGGTTTTCACATCTACCTTATTTGTACATTATGCAATAAATACATCTTACCGTTACTATCAGTAAAAACGAGTATTTCGAACTTGTTTATGCTTGACTTCGAATTTGTACTGGCTTATTGGTTTTTCATAATATTAATACTTAGATGATAGGGTGACATTATTTCAAAAATAAATGGGAGTTTAAAAAATCCCGTTTTGAAATTACGAATCAGAAGACGAAATAGGTATATTTTCTGATGATCATATAAAAATAAATAAAATTTATAAATCACATATTTCAGAAACCTGACGTTAATTTTGAATCACCCTAAAACAGTATTTTGATTACGATAGTATTTTAAAATCTCGTGTGTCATCGACTTAATATAAAAACTTTTAAATTTATCACTGACTTTTAAATTTTTAATAGATTTTTTCAAGACATGCCTCGCTTTTATCCGGTTTATTCACGGTTCTACCTGTAGTGTTGCTGCCGCAAGTACATACTTGGCGACGCTATGGTGCATTAATATGAAAGGTATACTTGGTGCATCAACGCAAGATATAATGCAGTGGTGGCGAGCCAATCATATTTAATTGGTTATTCATAAATGAAACCGGCAATAGAGGAAGTTTTATAAAAAAAAATAATAATACAAAAATTACCTTTTCATGATTTTTAAACTTTAAATTACTTGTAATTTTTGATATACCAACCCAATTTTACTATCATTAAAATCACAAACTAGCTCTACAGCCGTTGTTAATCTTCATAAAAGGTTAGCTTAATAAAAAATTGTCTTTATGCTGTAGGAAGAGGTGATTTGGACTATATATATGTATTGTAAGAATTTACTATAAATTTACTATAGACGTTCTCGTTTATTCGTGGATTACCTATTAGGTTTATTTCATATTACTGTATTAGATCGATCCGAAGTTAACGATGTAGACAGTGAATGGACACAAGATACGAGTATGATCGAAGTAAAAAGAAGTAGTGTCCAAAAATACCCGAAGCAAAGTTTGGGTAATATAGATTTAACTTTATATCAATGTTGGAAATACTGAAATAAATGCATATGAAGCTGCTAGCATTAGACAATACAATATAGTGGTGCACTATTGGAATTATCACCACATCAGTAACCGTTTGTGTATTATTTATTTGTTCGCCTCCATATTCACTTGGCTTAAGATTTGTTAAAATAACGATTTACTTTAATACAGTATCGTAAAACTAATAACAAAAACAGAGTTTTACAATAATAAAACAAAAAGGATGGTTTGCATCCACAACTCTTCGCATTTGCTTGTCAGCATAATCTTTAGATTTATGAGCATTTTGCTTAATTTATTCAAAGGGCTACGTCGCATTTTGACATCACAGAAAGGTACAATTTGTTAAAATATGCACCTGCAACTAACTTTGCTTTTGACATAAATTTAAATGGCAAAATTATTTTAGACTTCTAAGTCGTGAATGTAAAAATAATTTTAGATTGTAAAAATTATTTTTTTTAGTGTGTCAAATATATTTTGGATGTTTAAATATTTAAATTCCTCAATATTTTCGCCATTCAAAAATGTTTGTTAATATTTTAAAATAGGAGTATTTTAACTCTCATCGGAGGTGAAAATTAACCGGGTGCTATATATGGATGTTATAATTGTTTTCATAATTCCTGGGACACCTGATAAAAAATTAGCCAAATGATTTTTCAGCCAATCCGATTAAGTTATTATTTCAGCATAATAATAATGAATTCAATAAAAAATATTGATATTATACTAATACCTAATTTAAAATCAGGTGACTAATATACAATAAGGTTTTGCATATCTCTTGTTGAATTCAAAAAATGATACTTTCAAAGCACATTCGCTGGCAAATTAATGAAAAAAATTTTAATGCCTATCAATTCGAAAAATTGCAAAACACTCAAGCGTTAGTAGGTCTTCTATTCGTCGGGTATTTGTGCATTTTTAAAGTTATTGCTGTATTGAAAAACTGCAAGAAAACCACGTTCTCTAAATATGAACGATATAAAATATCTTAAAACTTTATGAATGATAAACCTTACTAATACTTGTATGAATTACAATCTGAGATGAAACTACATATTGGCGAATTTGTGGAATTTGATAAATGAGTCCGTCAAGGGAAAACCCAAAATCTGGCTTTAAATTATATTTTGTGTCTAAACATTTAATCGTATTATATTGACAACTACTACACCAAATTCGATGAAGTTTTTTTATTTGAATTCTACATAATTGTAAAATTCGAGTAAAAAAATTTCATCGAATTTGGTGCAGTAGTTGTCAAAATAATACGATTAAAAGTTTAGACACAAAATATAATTTAAAGCCAGATTTTGGGGTTTCCCTTGACGACACTCGAATAGAAAAACCAATGAGCCGTAACTCTGGTTAAAATTTGCAGATCATTTGGCCTGGTTTGAAATTATTTGACTTCAAAGCTGGCCAAATGATCTGTAAATTGACCAGAGTTACGGCTCATGGGTTTTTCTATTTATCAAACTCCACAAATCCGCCGATATGATATATCGACTTGGATATACACACAAACCGGTAATATTTCGTATATTTATAAATTTTTTTATTTATAATTTATAACTAATTTTATTCTATAGATTTCAAATCTCGCAAAAAAAAAAATAAACGAAGTCGATAGAAACAATTTCATTTTACGAATACTGCTTATGACACTATGGCTGAAATTTCGTGCTCAAAAAAATACATTTTTTGTTCGAGGAAGACGATTCACCATAGAAGGTGCATTGTGTATTACTGTATTGTATTCAAGAAGGTTCTATTAATTCTATTGATTATGAAAATTTTATTGCACATGTTTTAATAAGAATTTTATTATGTAAATATTTTAATTAAAAAATATGGTAGATAATTTTTGAAATTGGACCAACAATGTAATTAAATTTGTGACATAGATATCATAGTCAGTGTTGGAAA